CTTCTGTAAAAAACTGAGCTGGATTGGACAGCACGGACTTCAAACTTTATAAAAGTAATGCTGGAGGAAATTGGTCTTGGTGGAGGTTTGCACTCTCCCAGTGCTTCTAGTTTAATTTATGTAATGTGGATCTAAGCATTGAAGTCATAAAATTATTTTTATTTCATTAATTTTAATTGTAGTTTTAAACATATTTAGTGTTTTCCTTCACTTTGTTTCTCTTTAACGTCTCTCTTGTAGCTCAGATCACAATTAGCAAACATATTAGGTGATGATGTCATCTAGTGACTTGAGTTTGATTTTACAAGAAAATAAGTTGATTAAAGCAGATGTTTATTCTCTTTATGGTTTTTTGCACTTTATTTTTTCATGATGTCACTGGCTGGAAAACAGTAAGCTTTATTCTTTATATTTATTTGTTTTTTTCTATTTATTTATAGGCTGTACTGTGAATTTCAGACAGTGTTTAGAAATTCACTTAACATGTTTAATATCAGGTTTAACAAAACAAGAAAAATTAGAAATAAAGAAGGTAAAGCCACATATTTGTTTTTGGTTTATTGTAATCTGTGTTTTAAATAAATCTTATTTTATTTATTTAAGATGAAAGCAAAAGTCCAACTTTGCAGAAAAACAGTAAAAAGGAGCACAAATCTGGTTGAAAACATAAAAACAGCTAAAAGCTAAGAGCTAAAATAGCTGAATATAGCTAAAAACATATGTAAGAAGCATAAATAGCACTAGGTAGTAGAAAAAGTAGAAAGTAGAAAAGAAAGCAGAAGAATAGCAGAAAGAAGCAGATCTTTAGCTAAAATAGCATAAAATAGCTTTAATTAGCATAAAACAAGCTAAGCTAAAGGTAGCAGCCACAATTTGAAATTGGCACCCAGTTGAAAAATAGCTAAAATAGAAAAAAATATATATCAGAAAAAAATAAAATAAAACTCACAAAATTACACACAAGTGATAATTTGCAGTAAAATAACTGAAACAGATGAAATTCAGTAAAAACAGCTAAAAAGTAGCTGCAAATTATTTAATTAGCATAAAAAGCACAAGTTTGCTGAACTTAGATGAAAAAAGTTGTAATAACTACAAAAATGTGTATTTAGACTAAAAATTTAAATTTAGCTAAAAACAAATGAACATCAGCTAAAACTGCAGCAAATGGCTGTGTAGGAATTACTTAATGAAATCAGGACCAGCCTATTTTCATAAATGTAATCCAGGATCTTGCAAGAAATGAAATCAGATATAATGAAACACCCCTCTGATCATGAATGAGAAAAGAACTTGTGGTCTTGTCAGATTTCTCAAATAAAGTAATTTATTTTAGATATATGACCAGAATAAACATACAAACATTAATAACATATTATATGAATAAAAACACAAGTTATTGTCATGAATCTAGCCTGTTTTCTGCTTAACCATGTCATAGTC